ATACCAGCACAGTCTCTGGAATCCCTCTCTTTCGGGTGTTGATTCGATTCATTCATGAACCCCCAAGCTGCAAGATTTGGCATGAGCCGCTCATTGTCCGTGCCTTTTCGCACCGGCGATCACTCCCTGCCCTTGCCAGCTCTTGGGATGTTACAGTAGGGGACACAGATTTCAGCCACTGTGAGGTCTGGTAATCGATTACCTTGAGGATGGTAATCAGTTACCTAGTTCAGTAATCGATTACCTTGAGTATGGTAATCGATTACCCAAAACAAGGGAGCCAAAATTGAGCTTCTGACTTCTACAGTAACCTGATGGTAATCGATTACCTCACTGCAGATTTGAAAAAGATGTTGTTTTATAACCTGAAGTTAATGGTATTGCTCGGAGGGGTTATAAAGAATAAATATTATGCTTCTGCGAGTTTTGCAATTACAATTACGGTGTTGGTTTTAATTGATTACAGAAATGATTAATGGTTAACAACAAGGAAGTAATAAAGGAAAAAGTTTACCCGTAATTCAATTAACTCAATTACTGTGATTGTAACTGCGCTTAATAGCATATGCAATGTTAATGTAAGAACCCGCACCATTAAATTAGGAATTTAATTAATTTAATTGATTTAATTATGAATTAAGAGATAAATTTCCTAATTGACCTTGAATAATCATAAGATAACTTAAATAATTATTGTAAGTGATTAATAATGTTGAAAGTCGCTTTTCTGACGAGAAGTGCAGATACCGGTTCTGCCTCACGGTATAAGTGCGTACCGATGAAGTATCCCGAAAAATTATGAAAAATATGTATATATCATTAAAATAATATCTAGGACTAGTATAACAAGTTTGGAGTCAAAATAATGAGAACTGGCGTCAGAACTGATATCAGCTACGTAAAAGCGTGTACCGGCAAAGTGCTACGAAAATTATAATAAAAATATGATAAATCCTCCAAAATGCTATGCTCTCCATATGCACACCATGATCCAATCCTCCTCTAAGCAGGCCTCTTGCCCGAAGATCATCCATGCTCACTATAACCTGAAATGATGTCCCCAAACGTGGGGTGAGATATACAAATATATCTCAGTAAACCAAGGGTACTAGAGGATCACTCCGCCCCATGGCTCACTCAATGTGCATACAATGATCATCATATAAAATGCATAACATACAAAATCACATCACACTGGGCTCACATCCAAGAACATCCACACAAGGATTCCGTTCAAGGACCCCATCATATAACTCCCGGGAAGCTTCCTGGTGCCTCTCCCATGGATGAGACGACCTCATGGCAAAACCCAACTGGAACTCCTCAAGAGACCTATCCAGCGGAAGCCCCATGTTTGGATCATCCTGGTACCGCTCCCAGAATTGGCCCCACTGCAAAGCCTGACTGGAATCCCCCAAAGGGATATCTCCAGCGGAAGTCCAAACCACACACATCTTCTGGCCAGAGATCACAGATATGTCACACAACATGCTCCAAGCATGTCACACAATCAAGCAATAATGCATGAACATATCATTTCATACAAAGTCAAAGAGCACAAAATCCAATCACTACCTTCCACTAGGTGTGGAGGAACACACAAGGGGATAAAATTCAAGTACCGAGAGTTTACCTCAACTCCACAAATTTTGCTCTTCCATGTAAGCTCCAAGCTTAATCCACTTCTATTGATTCCGTGCGAGGTAACCTATAATCATCAATTAACCAATATCATCAACACTTGCATACAATCAATTCAAGTCAAAACAATAGTTCTCAACACAACAACTTAGGCCTAATGGCCAACCTACCTTTAATTCAATTACCTTAACCATTTTAGTCATTAAACTAACTCACCATTTATGCACCAAGGCATCACTCATTGGTTGTACCACATTTTCACATCATTTTCCTTATTTCTTTCCATATGGTCGAATTCTTCATGCCATTATACTCTAATGCTTTCAATTCAACTCAACCCTCACACACATCATAAAATCCTATAATTAACTCATCCAAATACTCCACAACTCAATTATTCAATCCTCCCATCATACCAATTCACGAAGTATTGAATTTCCACTCAAAATTTTCCCAAGTTGTTAATTCATTTCACCAATAATTTTTATTCCATAAATCATCATTATTTATCATTCTAAGCATTTAATTCCAAAGGAGACATACCATTTAATGCTCCTAACTATCACAACTCATCACACATAATCAAAACTCTCACCCATTTTATGTTTTCAATATAAACTCAATGAGAGTGTTAAAACTTACCACCAATAGCTTCCTAGGGTCCAAGGGGATGATCTCCAACCAACCAATCAACACAAGAAAGCAGCAAAATCTCCCAAAAATCCCCAATTTTCGTGGCTGATTTTGGAGGATTTCTCCTCACATAATGATCCCCACAAGATGCACTCTACATGAAAGTCACTCACAAGATCAAGGGGAACAACTTTGTGGTTGGGAGTTTCTCTCAAAAATGTCTAGAAAAAGAGATGAAATTTCAAAAGTCCAAAGCTCTTTCCATGGCCAAAGAGCTCAACGGTTTTCAAAGAAAAGAGGACAGATAATCTGATTTTTTTTGTGTCTAAATGGCCATCCACTCAGTTAAATCACTTAAGTGGATCTCACCTGTCAATTAACTTTCTTAAATCATTCATTTTTACCCACAAATTCATAACTTACGTATTTTTCTCGTTCATGTCATATTTTTACTTCCTAGAATACTGATCATATTTTTGCGCTTATCGATACAATTATACCGCAGTATTTTACACTGGTAAAATTACTATTCATCAAATTTGCAGAAACTTGCTTATCCACTCAATTTTTCGTTCTGAATCCATTTCCAGTGTTATTTTTCTCATTTGAGACCTCCTACTCAAATTTCCTTTCCTAGGGTTACGTGTTTGGTAAATTACCATTTTACCTTTCTTATGCAATTTGACTCTAATTTCTAGATTTTCACTAATCCTACCATTTAATCCATATTTTCATATATAATTATGCATTTACGAAATACGAGGTGTTATAGAGATCTCGACAAGGCGATCAAAAAACAAGATTAGTCAGCCCGAGCTTGTACCTCGACCAAAAAGGTTAAGGGAGAAATAATTAAACAACATACTTAGTATCCGGTTCAAAAAACTCGGTTGATCTTGAACACAATCAGAGACAATAACTGCAATCGCTGACCTAACTAAGTTGATTAAGAAAGATTTCAACCCAGGGCAACTATTGCAGCACGGACACCCAGACTACCGAGCATGGGGCAACTGTTATGGACCTGACAAAAGTCCACATTCTTGAAGATCCAATAAAAGATAGCACAAAAGGAAAGTCATCCAAATAAGGAAGATAAATCCTCTATTAATGACGATCATATCCAGACAGCTAAGCAGTTGGACTTGGGCCCCTCGATATTACTAAGAAACACATAAATACACTCCTATCATGTAACTCATTTATAAATAAAAGGTTAAGCAAATAAGATACACACACTATAAACCCTCTCTTTTAGCTGTCACTGTGCACACACCCCATCCTTTGGCTATGCCATTATTATAGCACACATATCCAATATTAACATACTAGTTAAAAGACTAGACATATCTGTCTCTAGGACATAACACTATATTTTTTGCATATCTCTTTCTTTACTAATCCTTTCTTTTCTTGTTTATATTCAATACTAGCTTTAGTTATGATATTTAATTGATACAATCACTATATTTTCCACCCTCGATTGAATCCGATTAATTTCATTCTTTGTATCTAGGGTCCCAGAGATCTAGTAACAAACCTTGCACATACAATTCTAAAGTAGAGAAGAGCGCAAAGGAAAACAAAAAAGTAAATCGTGAGTACAAAAAGAAAGAACATCAAGAGGAGGAAGCAATGATGGAAAAAGATCAAAATGAAGTAATAATTGAAACTTTAATATTTTTGAATGCAGTTCTAGCATTCTAAACCTTGTCATCAACTTTACTATTTTCAAGCTAAAGCTTGCACAGCAGAACCTTGTGCAAAAATATCGGTTGAAGGGAAAATTGCGATACCGTGAAGATTAATGAAGTGAAGGATGATGTTACTAAGCTTTGGTTGTTTCCATTCTTGTTGAAGGGAAAAACACTTATATGGCTACAAACTTTACCCCATGAGAGTATCACCACATGGACCAATCTTGTTTCCAAGTTTTTAATCAAGTGGCTTTGTTTAAATGTATGAAGAAATTTGAGTGGGGTGAATTGAATTTTCAAAATTTTACAAACACAAATAACTTTTTTTATTTCCAAGATTAATGTTCTCTCGTACTTAATTCAAGATAACAATATAGACTAATTTAACTCAAGAGTGCAACAATCAATATATAAATCAAAAGCAAGAGCAAATGAGAAAAATGACATCGGGAAATTTTTACAAGAACCTAAATTTTGGAAAAAAAGATAATTTTTTAAATTAAAAGTGATTAGTAATTTAAAAATGTTAAACAAAAGTTTTAAGAAAGAAAAGAGCATAATTAAAATTAATTTGACTCAAAGGAATGAATTATAAACAAGATTCACTTAAGCATTAAATAAATAAAGAGTAAATATCCTTTTGGATCCTTAACAAAAAAAATAAAATAAACAAGAAACCCATTTTAATCTTTAGAAAAAAAAAAGAGTATCTATATTAGTCTTTTTTTAGGGATTAATATGGGTTTTCTTTAAATTTCTTAGGGACCACAATTTCAAAGAACTGTAATTTCAGAGAGATCATAAATTGACTTTTTTTAAAAGGATTTAGATGAGTTCCATGTTTTTTGGTAAGGATTCAAAATGATATTTACTCATAAATAAAATATTTTATTTCAAATGAGAGTTTATTTTTTCATTGATAAGAGTCCATTTAAAAAATGGGCCCAAAGCGTAAAGGATTTGGGCCACGGCTAATAACAGCTTCTAATGGGCCAGGCCTTCTTCCTTTCACCCTTTCTTCCCACCTTCATGGACGACGCAAGTAGCTACAGCTTCCATCAACAAACAAAACACATAGCAGCAAAGCTTCAATTCATGAACAAGTTTCTCACCTCCCAAGTGTAGCACCCGCATCGAAAACAAGCCTACGCCTCCGTCCAGATCTTAACGGTGCGTGAGCAACATTTAATTTGCGTCTTAATTATTATAAAGTTCGGATTCTGATTCTGCTTCTGATTTTGAATTTTTGTTTTTTTTTTGTTTTTTGGTAGATAGAGATGGATCCAAACGCAGTGAAGTCCACTCTGTCAAATCTTGCGTTCGGAAACGTAATAGCGGCAGCTGCGCGTGATTATCAGAAGGTAATTTAATTCTTCACTTCACAATGCAATTATCGTAGATCCTCCTCATTGCCCTCACGTGCCTTTTTAAGGCCTTAACACAATTAGTTCTCGCTAACGCTGTTTTAAACTATGTTGGACACAATTGATTTTCATCTGATTCAGTGATTCAATGTTTGCTTTTTGAATACTCATTGAAGTGATAAACAATTGTGTTAGTTTTTGTGATTAGTTATTTGTTAATTTGCATTATTTGATGGTCACTTGTTTACAAAATTAATGGTGGCTATTATGATATTGTAATGTTCCTTATTAGTTTTTACTACTTGTTACATTTGTATGCGTTTTCATTTGGTGCAAACAAAATTGAACTACTACTGCTAGCACGGAGTGGAGCTGCATGATTCAAAACTTTTAACCTATAACATTTCCTCATTTTTCTTTTAATTATCTTTTTCAGTTTTCTTCATTTCTTATCAACTGTTCTTAGCATAGCACTTAATTTAAGAAGCTCTAACCATAGATGGTGGATAGTTGAGTATTGTATGTTTTGGAGATAAATTTTTGTAGTACTACTTTGAAGTTTTTTTTTTTTTTTTTTTGTAAATACTTTGAAGTCATTTGTGCTATATGTTTAACTGATTCCTGAATTTTGTAACTGTTTACTCAAATTCTAAGATTATATTATGATTTTCTCTGAAGATTATTGTTATGTATAATTCTTGTGCCAGCAACTATGTATTGGTGTAATGTGACACCTGCTATGATACCTGCAGGAATTGCTTGCTCAAGAGAAGGGACAGGCATCCAGTTCTGTAAATGAGGAGGTTGACCTTGATGAGTTAATGGATGTATGCTTCGTAAACTTCTCAACCTCATCATATATGTATATGTGTATATCCCCTGATTCTAATTATAGTGGTCTACACAACACTGATGTCAGGATCCTGAGTTGGAAAAATTGCATGCGGATAGGATTGCATCTCTTAAGGTGACAATCTTCATACGTCCAGAATACATAATGATAATCAGATTTTTTTTTTTTCATTTCTGTTTTTTTATAAAGCACCTTGCTATTCATGTCTTCAATAGAAAGAAGCAGAGAAACGGGAGGCATGGAAGAAAAAAGGTCATGGGGAATATAGGGAGATAACTGAGGGCGATTTCTTAGGTGAAGTTACTGGAAGTGAAAAAGCGATTTGTCATTACTACCATAAGGAGTTCTATCGATGCAAGTATGTTTTTGACTTAAATATTGTTCCTTCAAACATCTCTCTCTATCTCTTAATATTTGACATGCATAATTAAATGTGCTTCTTGTTGTATCAACAAATGTTTCCAGGATAATGGATAAGCATTTAAAGTCCCTTTCAGCAAAACATATTGATACAAAGTTCATCAAGCTTGATGCAGAGGTCAGCTTGAACAGTTCTATTATTTTGCAATAGATATGATTTAGTGTTTGCTTAGGGTTGAGTCAGAGTAACTGTAACATTGGACTTATTATTTTAATGCAACTGTTTGTCTTGATAAATAAACTTGAGTAAAAGAGTTCACTATTGAAAATGAAATGCAGAATGCGCCATTCTTTGTTGCAAAACTGGCAGTCAAGACTTTGCCTTGTGTCATACTGTTCAGGTAAGGCCTAAATCTGTTACCTTTGGGGTTTTGGTTAGTTGAGTGCTTTTTTGAAGAGCTTATTAATTTTTTTCTGTTAAGGTCTCAAAAAAGATGAGAATAAAGTTTAGAATCCTAAAACAGTCTTTATCCTCAATAACCCCCCCAAAAGGATATATTATCATGCTGTCCCTAGGAGCTAATTGTTGGTTGGAGGCTGAAGTTGGCCTGGATGAAATAAAATGCTGTTGTCACTGAACAAACTGATAGAGTATATATATACTAATTGAGGATAAATTTGATTTGTTATATCAGTATGTTGGCTAAGGTGTTTCTTTTTTTAGACAAGGAGTTGCAGTAGATAGATTGGTAGGATTTCAAGATCTAGGAGGGAAAGATGATTTTACCACAAAATCGCTGGAGGCTCTGCTGATCAAGAAAGGTAATGCTTCTATATGTCCTTCTCATTTCTTAGTGACTAGAAAAAAATTTAACTGTCATTTGACACAGGCATTATTGATGGGAAGAAAGATGAGGACGATGAAGATGATGGATATCATGAAAGTACACATAGAACTGTTAGAGCCTCCGTGCTTGCCGATTCTGATTCTGATTCAGATTAAAATTAATCAACTCATAGCATTATGAAAAAAGAATCTACAGTTTATCTTGTTCATATCTTTTTGGATTTCTGGCTTGTATAATCGTTGATGCATATTTTCTGTTTGTTTGCTTATGGAAGGGTTTGAACCCGTTGCAGTCATAGTTTTTCTAAAGAAATTGATATAGCTTTTCTAAAATGGATTTAATTGTTGTCCACTGTGAGTGCATTATCATTATATCATTTATTGTTACATCAAAATAAATTATTATAATTTTTTAAATGATATGTGAATATTAGATGATATTATACAAACTTTTAACTGTTTGGTCAAAATCTGCTCATTTATAGAAATAAATAAAAGTATTATATTTTTCAGCTATAATGCACATAGTCCCTTCCCAATGTAATCAAATCGTAGAAAATCTCCCATAATTCAAAATATAGAAACTCAATTTTCTGCATTTACCAACTACGCAAAGTAGTATAGATTGCATAAAATTTTCTGGGGTGAATCAATATGCAATTTGTTAAGCTTTAAAGCACATAAAATTTTTCCCTATAACTGGCTTATATGTTTTACATTTAAGCATAATTTTGAGGGTATAAGTTTCTCTTGTTATATGAGAAAATTTTCTTGCTAAAACAAAAATTTGTGGCAATTATCAATTAAAAAAAGAAAAAATAGCTCGTGGAATTTTTATGTTTGTGCATGAGGGTATGTTTTTCTCCTTCAACAGAATAAAAACATACCCCTAATTTTAATAACACTTAAAACGGTGCCCTAGTATACCTTATTTATAAATGCAAATATAAAATATTAATGATTCTTACCAATTTTTTTATTTTGACACATTCATAATTGATTAGGTCCGAATGCGATTAGATTAATGTATGCATAAAAATTAAAATAAAAATAGCATAAAACAAAGCTATTTAAAGTAAAAACTTGGATAGTACGCAGGTATCCGTTGAGGGATTTGCAAATTGCAATCAAGGAGGAATTTAATTTAATTTATTGTAATAGTTTTTTGTATTTAATATTAAATGTTGTATTAATGTTTTTTTGTATCAAGTCTAACCATTTGTTGTTAGGGAAATAATACTCTCATGCTATATGAGAGTAACATTTTTTCCTACACAAATTCGTTTTCCGTGCCAATTAACTTTTCTTTTCTTTTTTAATATAAAAGATGGGACCCACATTTAACTTCTCTCTACTTTTTTTCTCTCCTACTATCCTACAACATGAGAAAACTTGAACCCTTGTTGTTAATACTAACAATGAATAAATATTTGGTAAAGGGCGGGGAAACTGGGAAGAGAGGGTGTAATAATATGAATGGAATCACCGTACGTTTCGCCCAAACCACCCCTGCTTCTGTCTGTCTTTCTCTTTCTCATTATCTCAGTTTTTTTTTTCCTTCAATTAGAATCAATTAACGGTCTCGCTATGGTATCCATGACTTGGTCAACGGTGCCTCGTGGTAACCTCATTGTCTTTGAAACAAAGACCCTATTTTCAGTATTATCCTCTCTTCTTATAACTTTTCTCTCTTTCCCTTCCCTCAGTCCCCTTCGTTGTTTTCAAGAGGTCCTTCTTTTTTTCCTTCCATTGGACATTCGTACACCTCTTTCAAGTTTCAACAGCTTTCGTTTTAATAATAATAATAATAATAATAATATAAAAAACCATGAGAAGAACAATTTTTTTTATTATAAAATAAGTTTATGCGATCATGCACTTATACATTATATTCATGAGTCTCTTGTGTTTGCATGCATGTTGATGTTGTTGCATCATGTTTAATGGATTATTTGTTGGTGGGGTTGCAGGCAGGGCATTCGGGAGTGCTTTACTTTTCTGCAATTGGATGATGAGTGGATAATTCTCCTGAATACCCAGCAGAAGCAATCAACAGACACGACATCATGTCTGGACCGTTATCTCCTAGGACAGGTTTCATCTCCATTATTATTATTATTATTGCAGCGTTCTTAAATCGCATGTCACTGCGAGAGATATATAAAATTATTATTGTAGCGTTTTAAATTTTTGGGTTGAATTGATTTTTACATTGTCAGAATGCGGTCATGAATTTGATTCTCGCGTTCCTCATTTTCTCTTACGGAATTTTTGGATTTATGCATTGTCCACCCTTCAAGCCCAGTTAGTTCTTATGTGAGGGAATGTGTTAGAGAGAATAATATTAACCATTAAAAAGCTTTCGGGCAACTGTATTTGCATACAAATTTAAGCGAATGCACTTGATTTTTTTATTTTTTATTTTTTTACCTATATATATATATATATATGTATTAATACTTGTTATGATTGCCGTAATTAATTGCAGCTCTTGAAAAGACTGACCGTGTTGGTTCTTTGAAGAAGAAAGCAATGAGTGCCTCAAGCAAGCTAAGGAATTCCCTAACAAGGAGTCGTAGGCGAAGCAGCAGCAAGGTTATGTCCGTTGAAATCGAGGATGTCCGTGATGCTGAAGAGTTGAAAGCTGTTGATGAGTTCCGTCAAGCTCTTGTGTTGGACGAGCTACTTCCTGAGAAGCACGATGATTATCATATGCTGCTTAGGTCACGTCACTTTTCTTGCTCCGCCTCATATTTATCATAAGAATTAACCACAAAGTTTTTATAGAATTCAGCTAATTTGTCAATATTTAAAAGGGGGTGGTGGGTAAGTGAGTGCATCATGGTGATCACTACTTATCTATGCAATAGTGTGAAAAAGAAATATAAAATCATTAATATAATATTCAACTAACAACGTAAGTTTTTGGGTTAAAATAATTTTTTATGTATCTTAATTCGTGACCAAATGGTCATAGAATGATTCTCATCACCTCTATTTTGTTAATAAATAATTAAATATTATAAAAAAATTTAGTATAAATTATAAAGTATATGTACTGTTCACCCTTCAAACTCAATAAATTTTTGTGTCAATGGAATTGTTAGAGAAATATAAAAGTATTAAGATGACTTTCACCAAACATCTTTGGGGTAAAATGGTTCTTTACACAACTATTAGAAATACATAATAAAACTATTTGTGTGTCTTTAAATCTTTTGGTTGTGAGATATGATATTAACAAGTGGTTTGGAGTTTGACCTTTAGTGCCCTCATTTCTAAAGGACTCTTGTCTGAGTGTGTCTTCCCCCAAATATATAATAAAATCATCCAATAGCTTAAACTTTTGGAAGAATTGAGTGAGTAACAATAATAATGTTAACCTATTTTACGTCAACATCAATTTTATCTCAAACTAGTTCAAGAAAGATTCATCTCATATAAATAGCTTTTTTTTATAACAAGTTCGCCTAACGCAACCTCTTCCTTGATCCTAGTTTGGGACGGGCTATAGAAACATACATAACCAGAGTTAATATTAAGCCATTTTAGAAAAACAAAATTCTTGTTATCTATTAATTTTTCCTTTCAAATTTGCATTCATGGCTCTATTCCCTCTAATGTTTAATATTAGAAAGAACTAACTTTTCCCACACTATTCGTGCATTTTGTTGTACAGATTCCTGAAAGCCAGAAAATTTGACATTGAGAAAGCAAAACAAATGTGGTCTGACATGCTTCAATGGAGGAAGGAGTTTGGTGCTGACACCATCACGGAGGTATTTATTTTTAAACTATTTTTTGTTAAGACTTTGTTTTTTTTAATACAATAAGAATACTGAGATTCGAACGTATAACCTCGTGCAAACGATCCAAATCCCTGGTCACTAGAACTCTAGAACAATCTTAGTGGTTTCATTAGTTTGTTAAGACTTTAGGGTATCCCTTATTCATACTTGTTTAACTGGTTTAACTCCGTTTCTTTACTTATTCTGTGCCTTTTTATGCTAGGATTTTGAATTCAAGGAACTGGAGGAAGTCTTGCAATATTATCCCCACGGAAATCATGGAGTAGACAAAGATGGAAGACCTGTGTACATTGAAAGAATTGGCCAAGTAGATGCCACCAAGTTGATGCAAGTCACAACCTTGGATCGCTATATCAAATACCATGTCAAGGAGTTTGAGAGGACATTTGATCTCAAATTTGCAGCTTGTTCCATTGCTGCAAAGAAGCACATTGATCAAAGTACAACCATCCTGGATGTGCAAGGAGTGGTATGCTTTAAAAATTGTTAATTTTATAAGCCAATCCAAAATTGTAGTAGTAATTTGCAAACAACTTGACAAAGTAAGCGTACAAACATTAGAAAATAAAATGAACCTTGATATCTATGAGAAAAAGAAAAATAAATGAAGATAATATGAAAAGATGTTGAAAGCTTATATTGGTTTAATGTCACATCACAGGGCCTTAAGAGCTTTAACAAACATGCCAGGGAGCTCATCACTCGCCTTCAGAAGATTGATGGTGACAATTATCCAGAGGTATGTTTTTCTTTTATTTTGGTTAAAATTTACAGAAAAAAATCTGTTGCTAATAAAAATTGTGGATTACTGAGTTGTAATATCATAAAATTGGTTGCTTCACTGCAGACCTTGAATCGCATGTTCATCATCAATGCAGGTTCTGGATTCAGAATGTTGTGGAACACCGTGAAGTCCTTCCTTGATCCAAAGACTACAGCTAAAATCCATGTAAGAACATATACCATATAAAAAAACTCTGCTTTTTTTTTTGTCAAAGAAAATGGGATTTTATTAAATTGGACTTATAATTTGTCAGGTTCTTGGCAACAAGTATCAAAGCAAATTGCTTGAAATAATTGATGCAAGGTGAGTTCATGATAACTGATGTCATTCTGTGTCTTCAAACACTTCTTTTAAACTGACTTAAGGTTTTTAACAATCGTCATATCCATTGGTTTTGCTTTGCCAGTGAGTTGCCAGAGTTTTTGGGAGGTACTTGTACCTGTGCTGATCAAGGAGGCTGCATGCGTTCTGATAAGGGCCCTTGGAAGGATCCAGAAATATTCAAGGTGGGCTTGCAATCTTTTCTTTTCCCCCTATTTTCTTCTTTTGCTGTTGCTTCTTCTTATTTTTTTTAGCTGATAATTTGTGTTCCATTTGTGGATTTGCAACCTTATGTATTTTACTATATGGACTACTGCAGATGGTTCAGAATGGTGAGCACAAATGCTCAAGAAAATGTGAGCCTCCTGTCGTGGAAGAGACGGTAACTTCTCAGGTGAGATAGCTTATCGGAAGGTCTTTGTTGAACTTACATAACTCATTGAGCTTGCATCATTTGGCATTTCCTCTGTAAATTCTATTTAATTTTCTCTGTTCAAAATAATTTGTTGATGTTTTTATCAACCCTTAATTAGTTCCTTCAGTCATGGTTTAGCTTCCAAACTAATCAAAATAAACATGTTTAGGGACACGAGACTTCCAACTGGGAGGCAAATCTCACCTCACAACTGTCTTCTGTCTTTGCCGAGGTATGTTAGTATCATTCTTATTAATAATCCATATGCTTAATCTGGTTAGCAATGGAAATCTGTCAGTGTTACTTCTTTATCACATCATATAGTCGCAGATCTCAAAATTTAATTAGCAGGTTAATATATATATATATATATATATATATATATATATATATATATATATAGAAGGTTATATTTACAAACTTTTTGTTTATAAACTCTTACAAACTACACTAAGTATGACCGGTCATACTTCAATCAAGAATGTATGCCGGTCAAACTTAGTGTAATTTGTAAAAAAAGTTTATAAACAGATACTTCACCATATATATATATATATATGGGAAAATGGTTTGTCATGACTGGATATAAGGTTTTGTCGAGTCACATATTTTTTAACTATGTATTACGGGTAGTACATAGTTATAATATTAATGTCGTTTTGCAATCTATTCTTTAGATTTAACTTCGAATCCAGGAAACAGCCTTTTTGCAATTATGCAAGGGTACGGCTGTATACAAGGATTACCTCCACCCCACACTCGCTACTCCGGTTAAACGGGGAGTGGTTTTTTTTTTTTCTTTGCAATATATTCTTTAAAATTATTACTACGTACTAGCTGCAGTACATAGTTAAAAAATATGTTTGGACAAAACCTTATATCCAGTCACATGATATCCACTTAACCCTATATAGAGAGAGAGAGAGAATAATCAAATAAAAGCTTTTGATTTATACATCAATAGGGATATTTTCGTCCTAACACATGAAAATGAATACTAAGTAGCCAAAAAAATTACAAATACTAAAATTAAGAAATATGATTCCAACTTATCATGTGTATGCATGTCTTTCCTCTCTCTCTTTTTTCAATATATTTTGTTTTAATGGAGTTTAGATATGCTCTTCTTCCTTTGGTATTTTGTGTACCATCAAGTATGGTATTGTGTAGTATATTTTGATAGTTTCATGCGACCATTGGTTAATACAGATGGAAAGCGTAGTTTGGAAATTTCATGTGCCCCTTGTTTCCTTAGCTCCAGGTACTAAATTTTGTTAAAACATAACAGGCCCCTGCTGCTAAAGCTTGCAATTACGAGGACTTTGTCCCAGCGGCTGATAAAACTGCTTGGAAAAAGGTCGAAGAAAATCAGACATTTGCAGTTTCGAAAGGTACAGAGTTGATAGAAATGTATTTCTTTGTTAACTCTATTTCATCGTACATATTCCTAAAACGTTTGAAGTTTACTTGTGTGTTACTGTTACCTATAGCAAATCAAAATATAGAAATGTTACTCTCCCTATAGTTACTAAAACCACTATTTAATCTGTGACCTCTCGGTCACAAACAATCAATTTACTACTGCTTCATGCTTGCCCTTTTAAAAGTGTACAAGCTTAAATCAAAATATTTGTGTGTCCTGTCCTCACAACATTGTATTGTCTTGCTATTTTGTGAACTGAATTACATATGCATTTCTGCAACTCATGGCAGCAGAAGTAGAATCTTTCGCCATGGCTGATTCGTGCAAGATTCACGAAAAAGTGAACTACCAAATTTTCACTGGAGTGATGGCCTTTGTCATGGGAATTGTCACCATGGTGAGGATAACACGAAACATGCCAAAGAAGCTTACTGATGCAAACTTCTACTCAAATACCGTTTACTCTGGTGACTATAAAGGGCAGGTCCCTTCTGACCAAATGACTAATTCTTCTATTTCTCCTCGAGAGTTCATGACTGTGATGAAACGCATGACTGATTTGGAAGAGAAAATGCTCAACATGAATCAGACTGTTATTTGCCTGCCACCTGAGAAGGAGGAAATGCTGAATGCTGCTATAAGCCGTGCAGATGCTTTGGAGCAAGAACTTTTGGCAACAAAGAAGGTAAATAACTAAATCTTGCTGGTTAATAACCTGAATTGAACCAACTATTAAGCTACATATGTATAGTATCTTTTATTGTTGCACAAGAATTTTTATAAATTTTTTACAACATATATAAAAGTAGTGTTCAAATATAAAGTTCCCATTTGTTAGTGTTATTATTGTGCAAATCTTAGTTACTTTCCCTCTCCTTATCAAAGTTTTTGTTTAATGGTTCTCCTTTATTAGGCCTTGGAGGATTCACTTGCCATGCAACAGGAGCTTTCAGCTTATGTTGAGAAAAAGAAGAAGAAGAAGAAGTTGGTAAGTACACTACATTGGACATACACCCATATCTAATACAAGTGAGGATATGCTTATTATCCCTTTTTTTCTTACAACTACTTTTATTATTGTTAGATCAAAATCAAATCAACAACAATAAAATAGCATTTACCGAGAACAGTTAATTTGATTTTGATTTAATAATAACAAGATATTATAGAAGGTCGTAAGAAAAAACAGGTTGTATACTTATAACCGTGACTTAGCTGCACAGAATACAGTTTATTTGTTTTATGGAATTTATTTTGTTTAATATTTTGTTTTATGATGCAGTTCGCCTGGTGAGCGCTCAATATAACTGGGATTAATTGTACTATCGGCTTTCCGAAGATTTCATAATGCCCTCTTATTACATTTAATGTTCAAAATGCGAAATACTAGATGTACCAGAAATATTAATATTATCGTATAGTACTTACTCTAGGATAGGACTTGCTCTCGATGTATATAAAAAGCACTTCACAAAAAAAGCCAGTCCTATTTTGGACGTACAGTACTGGAATGAATATGTTATAGTATAAAATTAGAGAGTTTGAGTATATATGAAAATTGAAATCTCACATAACTTCTTTTTTTTTATCTGCACAAATAAAAAAATGATATTTGCTAAGAAAAGTCAACTTCGCAAATATTTTATGGGAAAATATTTTCTCATGTAGTAGGAGAGTTGTTTTCTCCTATTAGTGATTATTTGATTTTTGTGCAATTTTTTTTTTTTAATAGATTTGGATCTCACATAAGATGTGTTTACAATATGAAAAAAATTTCTCCTATCACGACATTTTATATGTGGTTTGTGGGTAGTAAGGACGAAGAATAAAATTGAAATTATTTCCACTTTCGTCTCATGAAGAAGGTAATATATAATCCCAATTCTCTCTTTCTATAACATTGTTAAACTTCAGTCATTCCCATCATGCGGTTGAGGTGCCAGTATAGTCCTGCTTATATAGCCAACATCAAATTATACAAACTGACCCGGGACCCCTAATATGTGCGATTTAGATATTGAACCGCGATCCTGAAATGGGTTTAATCAGTATTAACCGGCACCCAATTTTTTTAAAAAAAATTTGGGTTTGTGGAATTTTGAATAAAATAATTGAAAAATACTACTAACGAAATTCAAACCTAGATTGTGTGAATTATAATTTTTAGAACTTATTACTAAATTAACTCTAATTATTAGTTATAATACTTTTAATTTTATATTTTATTATATATATTTAATTTTTGAGATTGAATCAATAATTCACTAGTTGAACCAGAGTGATCTATTGACCAAATAGCTTAAGTGAGTCAATAACCAATCAAAATTTGATATTGATATTACTAGTTTATATTTTATTAATACTATTTTACAGTAATATTTTTTACAAAAAATAAATCACGAATAACTCAAATCCAGGTTGGGTTACAGCTGGCCTTAGTTTCTATTTTTATCCAAGTAGATTTTTTGACCTAAGTAGATTTTTTGACCTCCCGTTTATAATGATGATTCGATTTCCTTTTTCGATGTTGGTCGTTAGTCTTCTTTATTATTTTTTTCTAAGGGAGCGTTTGGTTGGGAAGAAATTTTTATGAATCATAGGCAAATGTGATTAGTAGGGAAATGGTTGAAAAGTGAGTTTGGTAAGAAAATGTAAAAATAGTTGTTTGGTTGGAAAATATTTTACCGAGAAAATTAGGTAACTTTTATAAAGTCTACGTTTGGCTGATGGTAAAATATAGATGGAAAAAAAATGCCGAATTACAAAAATTAACCTTCTTTCCAAAAAAGAACAATCTAGGCATCGTACCCTTTTGTAAAGAAGGCCAACGACCATATGTTAGAATGCACAGTGAGGATACGCTGGTCTTTTGTTAGAATGCACAGTGACCAATTTAGGTAGCTTTTTAACAATACTACACTGCCATCGGACAACTTTCGCCGACTAAATAGACGGGGATACCTATGCAACTTGGATATGTAGGCAAGTGATTTAGGTGGGATAGTGTGAAAAATGCTCCAACCAAACGTGGTTAGTTTAGATGCCTTGCTTTCATTTCTCTATCTTTCTCCACCGAATCCGTTAACCATGTTGGAAATCGACAACACACAAATCTAAAACGGAAAAGGAAAAGAGAGAGAGGGAGAATAGATACAACGATTTACCCTAGTTCACCCAATTTAGGCTACGTCCAGCTTGTCTGTACTATATTCACCTCACCGCCACTCGTTACAAGTCTCTCGATTTACATGGCAAATATAAATAGGATTACAAAACCCTAACAACAGCTATTCATGGGCCCAAGCCCAAACTGCTAAGAAAATTACAATAAAACAGAGGCCCAGTTGCCTTTCTGTTGACCCCGATAATTAGGGCCCTCATCAGCATGCGAAGTATGAGCCATACCCAACATTCTCCCACTTGGTGAATGCTTCACATGTTTCTTCAATCCCAATGCAGTTGTACACCATTCAAACTTCTCTGAAGTCACTGTCTTGGTCAGAAAATCAGCATTGTTGACCTTTGTGTCAACCTTCTCCAGCAATACAACCTTGTCTTCAATCTTCTCTCTGATGAAGTGGTACTGTATGCAAATATGGCGCTCTGACTGTCTCACCCAACAATCATCTCTCCTTGTGCAAAGCCAAGCTCTTTGCAAAACCTCCGTAACCAAATAGCTTCCTTAACAGCATGTGTCAAGGCCATGTACTCAGCCTCTGTAGTAGATAAAGCAACAGTGTTCTGCCTCTTACTCATCCAACTGATAGCTCCGTCGAATGATGAAACAACATATCCACTTGTAGACCTTCTACTATCAATGTCACCTCCCCAATCAGCATCCACAAAGCATCTCAGTTCTAACAATGTATGTTCCCTTGAGCCCTTCACGCCTTCATAGCATAACCCAAGGTCAGACGTACCACGAAGACAACGGAACACACGCTTCACAGTCGTCCAATGCTCATTTCCTGGCTTGGACATATACCTGCTCAATACTGCCACTGCTTGAGCAATATCAGGTCGAGTACAAATCATGGCATACATCAGACTCCTAACTGCACTAGCATAAGGAACTGACACCATCTCTTCTTTTTCTTCTTCAGTCTTGGGACACTGGTCAGCCGATAACTTAGAACCAGTAGACATGTGAGTCAACACAGGCTTGCAGTCAGTCATCTTGAATTTCTTCAGAACATCTTCTATGTACTTCTGCTGACTTAACCATAATCTTCCTTTGTCACGCTCCCTCTTAATATGCATACCCAAGATCACATTTGCAGCGCCTAGATCTTTCATTTCAAACTGCTTTGCTAGCAGTTCTTTAATAGTGCTGATCATCTTCAAACTGTTTCCAACAAGTAACATATCGTCAACATACAAAGTTAGAATAACAAAGTCACCTTCTAACCATTTCACATAAACACAGTGATCAGCATCACAACGGTCAAAGCCAAGCTTCAGCACATAAGTGTCGAACTTCATGTACCACATCCTCGGGGACTGCTTCAGGCCATACAGAGATTTATTCAGCTTGCAAACTAGCTCCTCTTTGCCTCTTCCAATGAACCCCTCTGGTTGCTTCATGAAAATAACCCCCTCCAAATCACCATGAAGGAAAGTCGTCTTCACATCCAGCTGTTCCACCTCTAGGTCATATGCAGCTGCTTCAGACAAAACCAGTCTTATGGAATTTAACTTTGCAACAGGTGAAAATACCTCACCATAATCAACCCCTTCTGTCTGTGAATATCCCTTTGCAACCAATCGAGCCTTGTAGCGCTCAATCTCCCCATTGGCACCAACCTTCTTCTTGAACACCCACTTGTAACCAATTGCTTTTCGGTCTGCAGGTAGATTCACCAAACTCCAAGTTTGATTTTTCATCAGAGATTTCATCTCTTCTTTCATAGCTTCCTCCCACTGTTTGGCATCCTCCGAGATCCTCGCATGTTTTACAGTGCTCGGATCATCACATGTAATACTAAATGCACAAACATCATCACTAGCACACAAGATATAATTTTCAGGTGTATACCTCTCAGATGGTCTTTTTTCCCTTGTGGATCTCCTCAGCACTGGTGCTTCAACCTCAGCCTCGGTTTCAGAAAATTCATCCTCTACCTCGTTATATTCAGCAGCTTCAGAATTCAAATTTTCCAATTGAACCTGTGAGTTTACTGTATCCTCTTTCAAACACACATCCAACTCCACTGTCTATGACTTTTCAGGAGCTTCAGGAAAAATTTGATTCAACTTACATTCCCTGAATACAACGTCTCTGCTGTAAGTTACACTTCTAGTATCCGGATTCCACAACTTATAACCTTTGACGCCATCCTTGTACCCAATAAAGATACACTTTTCAGATTTACTGTCAAGCTTGCTTCTTTTCTCCTTGGGTACGTGCATATATGTTTCACAGCCAAACACTCTGACATGAGATACGTCTGGCCTTTTTCCAAACAGTGCTTCATACTGAGTCTTCTCCTTCAAGGCCGATGTAGGAGATCTGTTCTTCAGATAACAGGCAGTAGCCACTGCCTCCGCCCAAAACTCAACTGCCAAGCCTGCACCGCTCAGCATACTCTGTGCTTTCTCCATGAGAGATCGATTCAACCTCTCTGCCACCCCATTCTGTTGAGGTGAGTAGGGCGTAGTCTTCTGTCTTACAATCTCATTGCTCGCACAAAACTGGTCAAATTTTGTTGAACAGAATTCCCCTCCATTGTCAGTTCTCAGCACCTTGATTTTTCGATCAAACTGATTTTCCACCAAAGCCTTGAACTCGCGGAGTTTATCGAACACTTCATCATCCTTGTTGCGCAAGAAATATATCCACACATATCTTGAAAAATCATCAGTAAAAGAAACATAATACCTTGATTTTCCATGTGATGCTACAGGTGTGGGGCCAAACACGTCGCTGTGTATCAGGTCCAGAATCCCCTCAGCTCTTCCTCCTATGGAATCAAAAGATACCCGATTTTGCTTCCTTTGCAGGCAATGCTCGCAAAATCCAAACCCCATAGAGCAGCTCGGAATTCCATCCACCAACTTCTTTGATGTTAGAGTCTCCAGACCTTTTCCTCCAATATGCCCCAACCTCCTATGCCATAACATAGCAGTGTCCTCCTCCGCCTGTTCTGAAACATAGCTTTCACCACTGAATACTGTGCTACCATGACGCTCTCCTCTTGCAATAACCAAAGCTCCTCGAGTCAGCTTGCAAGAATACTTATCATTGCTAAAATTAATACCAGGATCTGCCATACTACCAACGGAGATCAGATTTCTGGTAAGCCCCGGAATATGCATCACACCCGGCAGATTCTTGACTGTCTCGTCACTCATCTTCAGCTTTACCTTCCCACGCCCCACAATTGCATGAATCGTGTCATCTCCCATTCTAACTGTGCCGCCAGAATATGATTCATAGGTGCAGAACCATTCCCATGAGGTGTCATATGAAACGATGCTCCAGTGTCAATAATTCAGTCATTACAGTCACTATGACTGTCAAACGCCATGTACAGGTCCCCTGTACTATCATCATCATCCTTCTTTGTACCCGAAGCAGAAGGTTGTGAATCATCCCGCTTCTCAGGACCTACGCTTTTACTTCTACAATTCCTTCTCAGATGTTCAACCTGTTTGCACCTCCAGCACCTCATTTCCGATTTATCAGATTTATCACGAGACTTTGACCGTCCCCTCGATCTTCCTCTGTGACCAGGTTTTGATCTGTCACCACTCCTCCCTCTAACAACCAGAGCCTCATTGCTGGTACCTTCAGAACCTACCCTTCTCATATCCTCAGACAATAAGGCAGCAACAACCGTCTCAAACGATAGTTTATTAACACTAGTACCAATTGACACAATGATGTTCTCCCAAGAGTTGGGCAGTGAACACAACAAGGTGCAAGCTTTGTCTTCCTCATCCAGGTTAATGTCTATGGACGAAAGTTGTGTACAAACAGTATTAAACTCATTTAAATGAGCAGAGAAAGAATCACCTTCGCTCATCCGCAGATTGTACAGCCTCCTTCGCAGGACAACTTGTTAACGAGTGACTTGCTCTGATAGAGACCTCCCAGCTTCGTCCAGAGATCCCTCGCGGTCTTCTCAGAAGTTACGTTCACCAGAACGTTATCTTCCAGGAATAACCAGATCAGGCTTTGCGCCTTTCGGTCGTCTCTGGTTCACGCCTTCAACTCCTTCGACTCGACTTCACCTGACGTTTCATCACCGACAGGTTTCGTTGGTATCGATGGTTTATTTTCTTCTATCACGTGCCACACGTCCCTGTCAACGAGCAGAGCCTCCATCTTCAGATTTCATAACTCGAACCCTTTTCCTCCGAACTTTTCAACCTCGACCCGTGATTGGCCAGTCGACATCCTGTCCAGATCAATTTCGCAGTTTTCTCTATGCACAGAAAAAACCCAAATCGCAAAACCCCAATATGTCACAGGAACCCTGGTCGCAGAACCAAAGCTCTGATACCAAATGTTGGAAATCGACAACACCCAAATCTAAAACGGAAAAGGAAGAGAGAGAGAGAGAGAGAGAGAGAGAGAGAGAGAAAATAGACACAACGATTTACCCTGGTTCACCCAATTTATGCTACGTCCAGCTTGTCTGTACTATATTCACCTCACCGCCACTTGTTACAAGTCTCTGGTTTACATGGAAAATATAAATAGAATTACAAAACCCTAACAGCAGCTATTCATGGGCCCAAGCCCAAACTGCTAAGAAAATTACAATAAAACAGAGGCCCACAATAGTACCTAGCCTCTACGGGCTTGGGGGTGCTGCCCCCGGACCCCCGCCCGCTCACCTGAGAGCGGAACCCCAGTTGCCTTTCTGCTGACCCCGATAATTAGGGCTCTCATCAGCATGCGAAGTATGATCCATGCCCAACAAACCAAACGCCCCCTAATTTTTTTATTCAAGTCTTTTAGATTTATTTTCATTTAGATAAATATGAGGAGTTTATCTTTAAATTTATTGAAATTTCCTTCTAATATGATAGATAGAAAAATTTCTAGCTATAGTTCATAGTTCTGTCACCTTTTATTGGCTTTTTTTCTGCTTCTGATTCAAAATGAAAGTGTTATGGACATGAGGAAGGCCCATAGTCACAGGTAGCACAAATGATGCAAGTCCAAAGGTAAGCACTATAAATAAGAGCTAAAGACAACAAGTATGATTGATCTCTCTTACTCTATTTTTATGCAATCACGACAGTGCACACATCCCTTTGGCCAAGGCCAGCATATAGTGTGTAGTGATTCGTTGTCCCCAAGATACCTAATTCATAGGTATCTAGAGAGAAATCACTAGACCCAAGATCAATCATCCGACGTACGATCAGACATCTCTGCCTCAGGCAGAACAGAAAGACATATTATTCATTTAATTTTTTTGATAAATTATTTATTAATTTAATGTGAGTAAAACATACAGGAAGAGTACACACGTTTAAGTCAAAGATTATCTCACAACAGAGTTATACAAAAGTCAAAATACATCTGTCATGTGTCACGCTGTGCAAGATGTGCACTTGAATGTGCATTGCCAAATTATGCATTGTCAAGATGCACATCTTACAATGCACTGATTTTTGTACAATTCACATACGAGCTGATACATGATTTAAACACGATATGTAAATTTTACTCGCATTAGATTAAAAAAGTTCGTCAAAATAATTAAACCAATGAACTGTGTGTCTTTGCATTGTATGAGTTAAAAGACCCCTTTTATAACATTTCTAGTTCAAAAATGAAACGATTCAGTTTACAAAAAGTCTAGAATCTATAAACCAAGCTAAGTTCGCACAAAATTCCTCCATCTACTGCATTATTAGTATTTTTTATTTACTCAAGATCTTTAATTAAGGAGGACAAGCTCTTGTGTATATCTAATATCTTTCTAAACTAATATTTTCTTTAATTAATTGTGGTCTTGTCTTTATTAATGCTATGCATTTTCTAAGGGAAAAAGGCTTCTCCTTTAGGAGGAGAATTCTCTTCTTTTGTCACAAAAAGGTAAACCCGCCTCTTTTTCTTTCGGCCAGAGATCTCCAACTATTCTTGCAATATGAGAAATTGCAATCCTATTTTTTTTATTTTTTTATTTTGGATACAGCAATCCTATTTTCTAATCAAGTTTTTCTAGTAATTTCAAACATCAGCAATATATTGACATATAGAGACCATATAATCTCAAACGTCCTTAAATATACTAATCAGGTAAAATTACATGCGCCGAGGAAGAATATATAAATATATAAATAACTCATTTTTTAAAACTATTTTTTTCTCGTAGTCGAGTCTTTAAATTTATTTGTGTGTATGAGTTAGTCTTTAAATTTATAAAATTTGTATCTCATTAATCCTAGTAACTAAAAAATATTAACTGAATGGTCAATCCAGATTTTATAAATTTAAAATGTAACTAATCTACATAAATAGGGGAAATCGATGTTTATTTAATGCTATTGTAGTGTATGAAAAAATACGGATATGAAAATTTTGAAATTATAGAAAGACATTTCACTTTTATCTCGTACAACAAAAATGTGACATGACTCGATCGAAAATGAGTGCAACTAGCTAGTTTACAACTCATCCCTGATCCCACTATTTTTTTACTATTTGCTTATAACATGAAAACACGCTGAAATTACTGATTATTTTTCAACATATATATAGGAAGTATAACAATGGTGAAAATCTATTTCATTTATTTATTTATTTTGTATTTTTCCCAATTTTCACTCCTATATATATTTTACATTACACCTCGTCATTGTTCACAAACTAAAACAAGCATACCCTAAAACTTTTCTGATTCAAATTTTTGGTTATCTGAGGTATATGTTATATATCACCAATAACAAAATATGAAAATGGCTCTCTAAGCCCAACGATTAATAGATGATGCGAAAGAAAGCGGCACAAGACACAAGCCTCTGCTTCTAAGGTCTGGCTTGAATTCTCTGCTATCTACCTTTTTTGAATCCTGTAGCCAAAAAACAAATAATAATGAACATCATGCATTCTTAATTAGTTACGGCTCCATACATGCAAACGGACGTTTGCATTTTAAAAAAAATGTTTGTACAGTAATGTGTACTGTTTACAAATAATAGAATTGATTTTGAGAGAAATGAAAAATTTAATTTGGATGAGAAAAATTTAATTTGGATGAGAAAAATGATATTAGTTCCAAATATCGTATTATGAAAAATAATAAATCACACAATATTATACTATAAACATGATTTTGATGCTTCAATCGGTTCCTATTTTTATTAATTTGTCCAATTTTCATCATTAGAAAATATTTGGAGAAATACTTATATATAAAAAAAGATCTGCTATGCATTCAATCAATCTTTAAAGAGGATCATAGTCAAGTTTGACTCAGCCCCATTTATTGAAACCCATTACTTGACCACTGCTTGTACAGAGAAAACTGTACAAGTAGTCACTGGTAAGGGATTTGACTAGTTTGTATTAGATTATGTGTTCAATTTTTACCATTGCATCTAAAAAAATTGATTTTAGTTTTGGGAATGGGGACTCATCAAATTTTTAAAAATATACCTATATTTATACTTCTACTTTATCATTTTTTTTTAAATGCATTATATATAAATAACCTTATAAATATCATTCCCAAATACAAATTAGTTTTTTAAACATTAATCTTTCATCATCAATATTCTATCCAAATATGAAATATAAGGAACTTTCAATATATATATATATATATATATATATATATATATATATATATATATATATATATAGAGGATCCTATGATATCAATGTCAAATTTTAAATTTGACACCCCATCTAATAACCGTTAAATCAAAAATGTCACACAACAAGGGACAGATTCAAAGGGAGGAAAATTTCTTTAATATAGTGAGAATACCAAACTCGGTACTCCCTTTTATTAAATAGAGAAAATTTGTTACCATTTTAACCCATATTTTTTTTTCTTTAATTTTCAAAAAAAATTCGCTTTTAATATGGATGTAGGTACTCCCGCCGCTGCATCGGAGGTTTTATTCAAAGAGAGGGGCGAATGTAACTTTGATTTTTTTAATTATTATATAAATAAAATGATATTTTTGTAATAAATATATTATTAATGTTTATATTACTCTCATGTTACATGAGATAATATAACTTCCTACAGATCCATCGATTTCTGTACTTTTTTTTTTTAATAAATAATGGAGTCCACTACATGATTGTATCTATAACATGAGATAATATATCTCCTATTACATAAGAGTAATATAACCCATTATTAATACTAACACTTAACTCCTCCTAATAATAATATTTTTAAATTTAATATTTTATTTTTGCCAACATCATAAAAAATTCTGGGCAGCCACTACACAACTGAATGTAATAGGACAAAACACAGCTACTAAACACGAATCCAAAAGAAGAGAGAGAGAGAGTAGAATGTCTTACCAGCTGCACTATTCTAGAGGACTTGCTTTGTGCGAACTTCATGTAAGGAATACTCAAAGTCTGCAGTGAATAATGAGCATATAAGTTCTGAATAAATATATGTGCAATTCGTTTCTTTCATTTGTGCGTTTACCCATTCTCTACAGTTTCAAGAAGCGAGGCTAATCTCACGTTTGTATTCATATGGTCAAATATAATAAAAATAATCAAATTATAGCACTTTTGATAAATAATTCCAAATTATATTATTTAAATAATTCATTTTTAAAACTATACTATATTGATCAATCTCTACTTTACTAACCCTAGGTTGCTATACTAAAAGGTGTGCAGCTATACCATGCAACTTTTATTTGGCTGTTTATATTTTATTCTTTTTTGAACTATATCATTTATGTATGATTCAGATTTCATGTCATTTACTTTTATAGATGCAATACCAGAAAAAAATTTAATTTTGGGCAACTAACTACAAAATAAAAATATTTTGAGGGAAAGTAAACTCTCTTTTTTTTTTCGGTAAACGAGGGCAAGTAAAGTTAATTGTGAAAATATAAAATTAAAACTGCGTACAATCCCCTTCATTGCTATCTTTTTAGATCTCAGAAGTCTTGTGGAGTGGGTTTTTTTTTTATAACAATCAATTAATCTCTAATTAGGTTAATATATAACTAACTCATCAGCTAATATTTAAACATTATTAAGTATTTTTTATCCATTTTTTCTTAATTAAATATTTTTGTAAAATTCTTAAATTACATAGTACTCCCTAATATTTTCACTGAAAGGAAAAGGACGAAAATATATTGTCGACCTGGATTTGTTCATGAAGGACGTGGGTGTAACCAATGGCTTCAGTTAATACAGAGACTGTACTGGTCTGCAAATTAGAAGAACACCATTCAAAACCTCATGCTAAAAGAAAAATGAAATAAAACAGAGAAAATATTTCTGGAAATCATATACGGGGGACAGTGGCCAAAGTGCCACTATTGAACAAAAAAAATATCAAAATGTCACGCCAACAGTAAATTTTGCCAAAATGCCACGTGGCATATTTCGCTACACTGTGTAATGAAATATGCCACATCAGAATCAAAAATGCCACGTGTCAGATAGGGAGAATTTCGCTACACAGTGTAGCGAAATTCTCCTGACACGTGGCATTTTTGGTTCTGTGCATTCTGACGTGGCATATTTCGCTACACTGTGTAGCGAATTATGTGCATACATATTTCGCTACACAGTGTAGCGAAATATGCCACGTGACATTTTGGCAAAATTTACTGTTGGTGTGACATTTTAGTATTTTTTATTTTTTTTGTTCAACAGTGCACTTTGGCCACTGTTGCCATATATGGCCTAAAATTATTAGCATTATTTCTTGTCTATTCAATATTTTTATATAAATAATTGTAAGTGGGCTTACCATACAATATCAGAGATTACGTACCTTCCCGAAAGGTGCCACTAACCTCTGAAGAGTTTGGATTCTGTCTCCCAAATTTTCCTTTCTGACCTGGTTTAATTCAATTCCACGTCAGCCCACTTCATTTAAACATGGAAGAGATTTAAAACATCAATTTAAATGCAAGTTTATACAATAATTAAACATCACCTTCAAAAAAAAAAAAAAAACATCACCTTCAAAGGAGGGCATGAAGGCCTTGACTTCTTAGCTTTCGCTTCAGATTCTTGTGATCGAGAGCATTTGCTAGGCCTTTTCGTCATTGCAACTTCCCTTGTGAATGATGAAATCTGTAATTTACTTGAAAAGATTAATCCAGTTGAATATGATCACTGAAGAGACATAATTTTTTTTTTATTAGAATGTAAAAAAGAAAATGCTGCTCCAAAGTACTAAAGAATATCATTCGAAATTACTAGCTAGTTAATTTTAGCCTTTGTTGCTGACACCAATATCAGGAGGTACACCGTGTGAAAAAAGGTAAAGTTTCCCATGGTTGAAAAAGAACCAAATGAAGATCATATAAGTACAAAATACTCTATTAATCTATTATTTTAAGATTTTGGATTGAAATGTAGTGTCAAATTATTATCGTGGTCTATTATTGCTTAGTTTTCATTAACCCATATCCTAAAAATTTTGGGTTGAGATTTGATGCATAAATCATTATCATGGGTTGTTGCTTAGCCCATTAGTGAAAAAAAGAGTTTGGATAGATGAAATCAATGAACGTACGTATACTAAATAAAATGTCTATTATGTCTATGCTATCAGAGAAGAGAAGCAGAGAAAAGAAAAAATAATAACCACTTTATTTGAGCTGTTTGATAGACTATTTTCGAGGCCATGCATGTTGCCGTGGCTTAAAGATATGCTCTCCTCAATAAGACCGAAAGTATCATAGCAAATCTGCATGTCATAACTCCCACTATAACTTGTATGAAAATCTAACATTTGAGAATTTAAGCCCAAAGAACATGAAACTAACGAAGAGGCCAAGTCTTGGGTTGGTAAATTAGAAATTGAAGAAACATGGCCAAAGTTATAGCTCTTGGTTAGGGCCATCCCTTCATTTATAGGCTTCTGAAGATGATAGAGATTCTCTGAAGGCGAAAATTCTTTTTCATTTACATGACGACTAGGAGAAGAAACTAAGAGATCATAGGCTTGCTGTTGAGTGAAGCTTTTTCCATTGTGGAAACCAAAGTCTTGCCCTGTTGAAGTTCTGAGTGAATCAGTCATGTCATACTTGTGTCCTTGTTCTCTTGAATTTGTGAAGTTCTCAGTCATAAACCCATTGGTACAACCATTACTGCATACAAACTCACCATCACAATTTCAAATATGAAAGAACTAAAAAGCAATCAAAGAAAAGCAGTAGGGTGATCATAAATAAAATGTTAGGTACTTACTATATGTTGCTTGGAATCCATGATTGAGTAGTGGAAGGTTTATAGTCATGTGGGGTGGCTGAAGTTACACACTGATCAAACTCTTCTTGGAGCTGATGCTGAAGATGGAAACCAGCAAACTCCATAATTGTTTTAAAGCTTGAAGCTAGATCCTCAAACAAAAACTTGAGACATCAAAGTTATTATACTCGTCCTCTATTCAACAAGTTGACTGTGTTTATGCTTTTAGGATATACATATAGTTAAGACACCTTCAGGGGAAAAACATGAATATATTTAAATTCTTCATAAAGCTAGGTTAGTGGACCTTTTTGTATGCATATAATATGTTTCAAAAATAATACTATTTAATATTGGTTAAGATTGAAGGCGACTCATACGGAAAAGTGTCGTCAGGTTAATTGCTTGAGCCATCTTTCTTAGGGAAATTGTAATATGTCAAACTAGCTAGTTTCTTGAACCACCATCATTATTGATATGGAATACAATGCATTTTTATGGTGGCATTGCATGTATTGATTACAATAAGGTTTTCATAATACTGGTCAGCATGGGTTTAGCACAGTATTAAAAAAAATATTCTTATTGAGTTTTTAAGAAAGCAATCGGTGTCTGACTCTAACAGAGTCGACTATTCCAGTTTTGGATTAGTGCCTTTTTTTTTTTTGTTCTGAGGGTTCAATTCTCGGAAATTGAAATTATTGATCAGTCATGCATAAGTCGAATGTGACGATGGTTATTTTAACATTTAAACAACGGTTTAAACTTTTTTTAGATAACTTTCTTTAATGTTATCAAAATACATACATAAACATGTGTGAAATTCATGTGGACCCATACGAAGAGAAAAGAAAGAAAAATAAAATATGAACTTCACGCACTTTTATATGTATATTTTGAAAACATTAGATAAAGTTATCTCAAATAACTTTAAAAACTTTAAACCCTAAACAAATGAATTTGTGTTTCTCATATTATATGAGGTAAAATTAGCTCCTACACATAGTTAAAATATGTAGAGCTCATATTTTGTTTCTCTATTCTATTCACATGGAACCCACTTATTTTTATGTATATGTAGAATATAATTTTATCTCTTATAATATAAGAAACATTAATCCCTTAAGTAAAATGTATAAATTTGATCATTATATATAATTAAATCATTAGATTTTAAAAATAAAAAGCTAAAAGTAAGAAATATTTTATAATATATATTTTGAAATAAGTTATATCAATACAAAAGAAATTATTGTATTATATATAATGTATTAATTAAGGGTTTTATTAATCTCCTTTTACATAAGATAGGTATATTATGTTGTAGAGAGAAACTAGGTGGATCCCACCATTACAAGAAAAAAGAAAAAGAAAAAAAAGTGAGGTGCAGAAATCGAAGTGAGAGAAAATGAGATAAGTTACCTCATGTAAAAGGAGACTAATATTTTCCATTAATTAAAGTATAAAAAATTCTTATAATGTAGCATGTGCCTATCGCGTCTTTTGACTTCGGTTTATGAATGGCCATTTAGCGAAAGGCGGGCAAGTAGTTTCAATGTATTTGCTACATTGCTACAGTTTACTTCAAGGCTGCTCATTAAAAGCATGGGTTTCTTTTCTTCTTCGTCGTTTCTCTTTTGCTTTTCTGATGTTACAATTTTTTTTCTCTCATATTAAAAGTTCCTATTGAGAATAAATATGATTACTCTCCCTGTCCAGAAATTTTATAGTTCAGAAAAGGCTGTTATCTTTCTCTTTTACAGTCACTAATTCTATCTATTTTTGTCACATTCTATGAATTTGCACTAAGTGCCGAATATTTTTGCTCGATAAAATAAAGAATGTGGTGAGTGATTGGCTCAAAATTATTATATGATAGTGCTGATTTTTAATTAACCATAGGGACAATATTTAAACCACAGCAGTATGGAAAAAAGGTGCCTATATGCTGTAGGCTCTTCCCATTTTCAAATTTAAGGACTACAGAGGTAGATTTAAAAATATCATTTTCTGTGGTGCAAATGAATTCCAGAGAACAATATTGGAGGTTGGATTTGAAAATACCATTAACATGTTGTACGGTCACAAATATATATTATAAGTAAAAAGAGTCCTCAATCTCTATCTATGTCGTCCTTTCTTTCGTCGGCACCAACTGGAATCCACGTTGGATGCTCAATGCATTGATAATAAAATTATGAATTAATAAAGGGTGAATTAATAGATATGTGGATTCTTTACCTTAAAAATAAATAAATAAATAAATAAATAAAATAAAATAGATATATGGTTTCAATATCACTCGTAAATTTATAATTGTGTTTCAATTAATTAAATATTATTATACTTTAATATGTTTAAAGTATTTCTAAGAATAAGTACATGAAGATTAATTATAACTATTAACTTAATCAATTTTTTATATTGACTACTCATATTAAGTGATCAAATTATACTTAAATCTAATTTTAATTAAAATCTTAAAATGATATACATAAAATTTTATTCAATTTGTACATTATAATTTTGCATATTATGTCATCAAACTAGTCCTATATTGCTCATATCATTGAAATGCGAATGATGCATGTAACAATTATCGTTGCCGAATGCCTAATGATTTTTAATATTCAATTATTGCCAATCAACTGTAAAAATGAGTTCCCCTAGTTAGTGATGGTTGTTACATACTATGAAGCATCCACATTTCAAAAATTCTGACGTGTCGTGTCTGACACTTCCCGACACTCCAATACTTGTTGCAAATACTCAAAAAAGGTTCAAAGGTTATGTTGCGTTACATTTTGAGTTTCAACTATTAGATTCGTTAGATTACGATTACGATTTTATGAGTTTAATATAAACATTTGGGATATATTATGTTTCTTTGCAAAATTGATGGCTATTATGAGTTTAGCTTTATTTTTTTGTTAAATTATTGAATACTAAATATAATATACACTACATAAATTAGAAATATTATATAATATCAAAACGTGTCCTAACGTATCGAAATTTAACATTTTTTAGAATTAACGTGTCGGAGTGTCGTGTCGTATCCCGTGTCCTGTATCAGAGTCGGTGCAACATAGGTTACATTCCAGGTTCCTTCCCTAAAATACGCATGCACACAGTATGTATATGTATATATATAAATATATATAAATAAATATATATATATATATATATATATATGAGAAAAATATTTATCCTTTTAAATGACACAACTTATATCATTTCACTCTCACAGAGAAGTGGGACTCACACCTTTATTTATTTTTTTGTCAACTCTCTCTCCTCCTTTATCTATCTCTTTTGTTCTGTCTTGGAGACAGAGATGTCCAACCCAGTATACTGGTATGTTGATCTTGGATCTAGTGCCCTCTCCAAGGTATCTATGAAGGAAATATCCTTGAGTCAAGCAGATCACTGTGCAAAATGGACTAATAATGACTTTTGCCAATGGGGTGTATGTGTGCGCACAGTGACAGTATAACAGTAAGAGAGAGAGCGTAACGTACCTTTAGGGTTTACCTTTTATTTATAGAGGTTACTTACGGGTAATATGATGTGGACCTTTAGTACCTCTGATAAGGGCTCAGGCCTGTCTGCTACGCTGTCGTATTAGGATTAATATCCTTGATGGATACTATCCATAATTATACTTGATTTACATCTTGGATTGCCCCTTATTGGGCCTGTCATTCAATGGGCCCCTTATACGGGTCCATAACATCTTTCTTTCTCTTAAAATGACACAACTTTACATCCTTTAAAACGACACACACTTTACCCTATATATATATATATATATATATATATATATATATATATATATATATATATATATATAGTGAGGATATTCTAACTACCAAAAAATTTTACTACAAACTTACTACCCATCACATCACCGTTGGATCAAAGAGAGAGAATGTTAAAAAAAATTTGAAGAGAGAGAAAATGTTTATCTAATGGTGATTAAAAAGGTAGTAAGTTGGTAGTGAAAAATTTTGATAGTGAGAATATCCCTCCTCATATATATATATATATATATATATATATATATATATATATGGGGAGAAATATTCTTACACCCAATCTTGACTATTGACCCACTTGTATCCAATGACACACATTACAAAAAAATTAGAACCCTTAGATATAAGTGGGATCAATGGAAAAGATTGAGAGTGTAACTTACACTGATGTAAAATGATCCTGACCTTATATATATATATATATATATATATATATATATATATATATATATATATATATATATATATATAAACCGTATGACCGTAAAATATTGAAAATTAATAATTAATTAATAAGTGTAATTCAATAAATTATAATCGTCAGACTGATAGAAATCAACAGTTAGAATTTAGTGTCAGTATTTTTAATTTGATACCGGTGTCACATGATCCTACCACCCCTTTCCTTCCTGACAATTAAAGACCTCAATTTTAGTGTGGTAATTAATTTATGACTTCAAATTTAACATAATAATTTTGTGATTGTATTTATCAATAAGAAAAAAAAATTAAATCATATGTATGCCATGTATTTTGTTCAAAGATTAAATTGTTTTCATATGTTAATGAGGAGGGATGTTCTCACTACCAAAAATTTTCACTACCAACTTACTACCCATCTAATCACCATTAGATTAACATTTTCTCTCTCTTCAAAACTTTTTAACATTCTCTCTCTTTGATCCAATGGTGATGTGATAGGTAGTAACTTAGTAGTAAGAATTTTTGGTAGTTAGAATATCCTTACTTGTGTTAAGTTAACTATTTTTTTATAAAGTAGGGTTTTAAATTATTTAGTAATAACGCTTACCAAAAACAAATAGTAATTACAATTTTTTATTTCTTAATTAATTAATCATAAAAATGAATTATTCAAATAATACTTCTTCACTCGTGTGTTACAATTTTTATGATTATTATGAGCTGCAATCAATTGTAAAATATTTTCTTATTTTAATAAAAACGGGTTAAGTCACGGTCTATATAAGGATGCAACATAAAACTCATTTGATCATTTTGTTTGGGATATATATATATATATATATATATATATATATATATAGGGGAGGGATCATTTGACTCCAGAG